TTGTTCGCTACCCGCCAAAATGTCAGGTGCCGTGCTGTTCCTGCACGGCTCCCAAATCACCGGGGACACGGAGCCGGGAGATCCTGACAGGGAACACATTGCCAAGTGCCCGTCTAAAAGCCAGTTAGAGCTGTTCCTGCATGTTAATTGGCCGAGGTAGTTAGTGCTGGCTCGCTGCCACCAGCCAGGAGGTTGTTAAATATTGGGTTTATTACTTCCCTCGCAGCCGCCGCGCTGGATCCGAACGGTGCCGGGTGGGCGGGGAGGGACACGGAGGAGATTTGGGGAACATCTGCACTGACAGCAAAGCTCTGCCGTCCTTTGCAGGTGAAAAGCAGGAGCTGCCCCTCCCGGACAGAGCAGATCTGCTGGAGAACCGGAACACCGAGGAGAAACAGGAGAATGTGGAGAGCAAGCTGGGGGGTGAGTGTGTGTCCCCAGGCATGTGGGGAGGGGGCACAGCCAGGATTCCCCGGGATCCCTCTCTGCAGCAGGATGGTGTCTTAAGGCCACAGTCCCCCCCAGACCTCAGCTGCTCCGTCCTGGAGCCTCGGAGCTGGAGCAGCAAACCCTTCCTCAGGCTGAGCTCCTCCCTTTGACCTCTGCCTAGCAAGGGTGCTTGGAGTCTGAGCTCAGACTCACGTGCTCCCCCTCATCCCATCCTCCTCCAGCTTCCTTCCCGCCCTCCTGGGTTTGTGGGGTCGGATCTTCCTGCGAGGAGAGCCCCCACAGCCCCTCGAGCGATTTCTGAGGGCTTTGGGTCACTGAGGTTTTATTTCCTCTCTTTCCCCTTTTCCAGAAGCCGGACCAGCAAAACTGCTGGACCACAACGTGCTGCTGCAGGTGATCAAGGAGCAGCAGGTGCAGCACAAGCAGCTCCTGGACCAGCAGGCAAAGCTGCTGGCAGTGATTGAGGAGCAGCACAAGGAGATCCACCAGCAGCGGCAGGAGGAGGGGGCAGAGGAGAAGCCAAAGCCAGGTAAGGACATGGCCAGGGAGCAGGACCCCCTCCCCAGGGTGCTCACTGCTCAGAGCAGCTCTAAAGTCAGGCTGGGAGAGATCCAAGTCCCTTTGGCACATGGCAGAGTCCACTGCAAAGCCATTCCTGGCCTCCAAGGCATCCCTGAGCACAGAGATAACACCCCAGGGCTCTCCTCATCCTCCCGTGTGGCCATGGGTGGTGTGGCCTCGTCTCCTGTCATACAGAATGTGCTGTCAGGAGCAGGGAATCTTCTAAGAAAACCCTTTTCCATGTTGGTTTTGTCCCACAGTGGAAGCTCAGCCAGATCCTGCTGTGCCCCTCTCCAGGAGCAGGGAGGACGAGGGCCTGGGAGCCAAGGGAGACACGGCCGGGAAGCTGCTGAGCAAGGAGCTGCCGGAGCAGCCAGAGCAGCGCCCAGGCCGGCAACCCCCTGGGGCCACTGAGCAGCACAGGGACACTGTGGGGAGGCTGGAGGAGCCTGGGCACAGGCGGGACATTCCTGGGGCTCCTCCCAAGGAGCGGAAGGTGCTGCCGCAGGAGAATGACAGAGCTGTTAGGAATCCCGCGGAGAACCGGGATCCCGTCCATGGGGATGCCCAGCGCCTTCCAGCAGCCAGAAACCACCTGGAGAAGAAGCCCTTGGCGGAGGATTTGGGAGGAGATCATGAAGCCAAAGCTGGAAGAGACGTCCACGAGAAGAAGAATTTCCTGAAACCCGTGGAAGCAGCAACAGCTCCCATCCAAAGAGAACAGCCGAGGGCTGCCAAAGTTCAGGGAGTAGCAGGAAGGAGTTTGGAAAGAGACTCAGGAATAGACCTTAAAGCCAAAGCTGTGAGTCAGGTGGAGCCCAAGGACCTGGCAGTGGCGCCGGACTCTTCCAGTAACAGGAATGTGGCAGCAAGGGAGCAGCACCCCCGGGAGCAGCGGAGAGGGGCGGAGGCTGAGGGAGCTGCGGGGGCGCTCGGGCAGCAGCGGGACCCGCCCGGCCACGGGCACGGGAAGGAGGAGGATCCCCGGGAGGAGCCGCGGGGCCAACAGGGCGGTGGGGGCGGGGGTCCCTCTAACGGCGCCGACAGGAAACCCGGCCCCGAGGATGCTCCGGCCCCGAAGGCCGAGAACGGAGCGGTCGCTCCCCAGGATCCGCAGCCGGAGCGCGACGTCAAACCCAACCGGGACCTGAAGCTGCAGGTGGGCCTGGACCTGCGCCGGAGGAGACGGGACCTGCTGCCTCCCGACCAGGAAGAGGAGGAGGAGGAGGAGGAGGAAGAGGATGCACGGGGGGCCGGGGGGGTCCTGATCGGCCTGGATCCCGTTCCTGACGTGAAGGTGAATGACCTGCGGAGCGCACTGGACACGCGGCTGAGCGGGGTGGCCGAGGGCGCCCAGCACCTGGTGCGCAGCCGCCACATCCAGCAGGTGACACAGGACAGGGGCCCGTGACGGGGATTTAGGGTCGTGCTCAGGCACAGGGAGGTCTGAGCCAGCGGCGCTTTGCTGGGCACAGCACTCAGATCCGCGGGATCCCCTTGGATCCAGGAGCACCACCCCAAGGGCTCCTGCAGCGGCAGCCCCAGCATGTGCCTGTGGGCAGCTGAGGTGATGGTGACGCTGGAAGCGACATTCCTGCTGCCCTTGCCTTCCAGAGCTCCCCCTGCCTCGGCTTCCTGCCAAGCTGCTGCTCCAAGGACCTTTTTCAGCATCTCATTCATATCGAATTGCCTTCTCCAGCCATCTCCCAACTCCTCTCCGAACCAGGAAGGGGCTCCACCGGGAAGGGGCTGTGCTGAGGGGACCCAGCTTCCACACCTCGGGAAGGGCTTTATCCCAGAGGAGCCGTGAGCTGAGGACCAGCAGAGCCAACAGTGCCAGAGTTGGATGAGGAGTGGAGCCCTGTGTGTTTGGAGACAGTTGTGGTTTGGGAACCTCATTTAGTAGAAATGCTGCCTTAACCGGGCACAACTCCTGCCGTTGTGCTGCCTCTGTCCCAGGGATGGGATTCCTTGGCCACACACTGGAGTCACAGGAGCTGCGTTCCCGCTGCCCTCCCCGGGAGCTCTCTGTGCTCTCCAGCTCCACTTCCCCTCTCCAAAGTGCATTAAGAAGCTCAATTCCCCCCACCCCTTCCTGGTCCAGCTTGGTTTTTCTGCTGGAGATGATTAATTTGGGAACAAGCCGGGCAGATCCGGGGCCTCGGCTCACGCACACCTACCTCTGCCCATGTTCCATGTGCTCTTCCCAACACCCCAGGCCTGTTCTGCATCCAGAGAGATCCCTGCTCCAGCCCTGGAAATGCTTTTGATGAGTGAGGAAGGGAAGAGCTTCCTGAGAGCCCTGGGTGGTTTCAGGCTCCCAGTTTTGGGAGTGTTTTGGGTTTTTGTGTTTTTACATCCTGACCTGCGAATGTACAGAATCCAACCCCAAAGCTCTCCCTAGACCGGCTGAGAATTCCCAGCCTGGAGCCCTCAGACCTCATCACTGTGGTGGGTTTTATATCCCTCTCTCCAAGTGTCTTTGGGGACCTCGAGTCCGTGGCCGATGGGACCCGCGGAGCCGGGATGGGGTGGGACCCTGCCTGCCTGGTGCTCCCGGGATGTCACAGCCCAGACCCACGGGAGTCCTTTGGGAAGACCCCCTGGAATGCCATGGCCTTAAACCCTCAGGACCCCCCACATCCCAACGAGCTTCTCCATTAATGCTGTCGTCAAGCACAAGCGCCGGGAGCCCCAGAGCTGCTCCAAGGACAGGGATGGGCTCTGGAGCACAGCTCCAGCTCTGCCCTGGGACATAGATCTGGGCAGGGATGGGTTCTGGAGCACGGCTCCAGCTCTGCCTTGGGACATGGATCCGGGCTGTGTCCCTGTGGCACCGACCAGCCTTCCTGAAGCAAGAGGGAGCCAGACCCGGGTCGGCTCCTTCACCCCCTTTGCTGCCAGGTCAGACCCGCCTGTTTGTTGTTCTCCGTGTGAACACAAAGGACCAAAGATCCTCCTGACATTCCTCCTGCTGGGAATGGTGTGGGCACCCCAAGCTGGGCTGGAAGCCTGTGGGAGCTGCTTCCTCCTGCCAGGAACAGCTCCCCCGGGGCAGGTGGAACATGGGGAGAGAGCCCAGAGCGCGGGCCGAGCCCATCAATAAAATAAGCTGAAGCATTTTGATCAGAATTCTTTTTTTTTTTTTAAATAAATATAGATCTGAGACCCTCACCCAGCCCGGGGCTGTGCCTCCTCCAGGAGCCTCGCGAGCAGGGTGGGGGGTGTTCCATCATTTGAGGGCAAACCGGTGCGTTTGAGGGTTTGATTCCTCTGGAGCATCTCGGGGGGGGAGCAGCTTTGGGGTCACTTCGGTGTCGCCTTCGCCTGCAAAGAGCTGCGGTCAGGCCGGGCCGAGGGGTCGGGGTTGGAACCAGGACCGGGATGGGGACCGGGACCGTGACGTACCGCCCGGGCAAAGCATTCCCGCAGTGCCTGGAACTCCTCCAGGCACGTATCCCGCCGCAGCTCCGCCGGCCCGGCCGCCGCCGCCGCCACGCACCGCCCGTAGGCCGCGGCCTGCGGGAACCACAGGGGACGGGAGCGGAGGCCTCCGGGACCCCCCGGCCCCGCAGCCGCCCCCCATGTCCCCGCGTGTGCCCCTCGGCCCCACCTGGTCCCCGCACGCGGCCAGCGCCGCCGGGAAGCGCCGCAGCCGCGCCCGCGCCCGCAGCCACACACCGCGCCCCGACATCGCTCACCGCATGGGCGCCGCCATGACAGGCCGCCCGCCATTGGCCGTCCGCCCCGCCCGTCAAACCACCGCGCTCTCCTATTGGGCCGTATCGTCCCCATCCCAGCCCCTTCTGATTCGTCCCTGTGGAGATTGTTCCCTCTGATTGGTGGAGGCGCCCGTTGTTTATTTCCCGTCTCCCGCTGGCGTCAGCCCTGTTCTCCCCTTCCGCGCGGAGCTCCGCCCTTCCCAGCTGGTGATTGGTGAAGCGGCAGCGTTTCTTCCTCTCATTGGTGTGCGGAAGCTTCCGGGAGGCGGGGTCATGACGCCACCGCGGGGCCGGGCAGGGCGGTGCGGGCAGTGTCATGGCGGCGCCGCTGCGGGACCGGCTGAGTTTCCTGAGCCGGGTAAGAACGGGGGGATTTGGGGGTCGAGGGGGCTGCCCGGGCCGTGACGTCACTCCACACGCGTGATGTCATCGCCGCGCACCCCCACCTCGCTTCTACAGCGGCCTCACACAGCCCTGGCGGGGCCGGGCCTGCCCCGGAGCCTCAGCCGGGGTCGGGGTCCAGCCCTCCCCAGTGTCGGTCCTGGCCCCTCTCACTTCGGCCCCTCCGTCCGCAGCTGCCGGTGCTGCTGCGGGGCACGGCCGACGACGACACCCCGTGCCCCGGGTACCTGTTCGAGGAGATTGCCAGTATCCTTCAGAGGCCTGGGGCTGCTTCCGTGGTGGGAGGGGGATCCCCGGGGCAGGTGGGGAGTCCTTGGGCACTGGGGGGGTTCCCGGGGCTGCCTCAGGCCGTGGTGGGCACAGGAGGCCTGTGGGGCTGGGTAGGGGCAGCCACAGTGCCGCGGGCCCTGGCTGGGATTCCATGGAGGGGGCGTATTCCTGGCATCCCAGGGGGCTGCTGGTGCCCCCTGATCCCAGCTGGGGGGCGCAGGATCCCTAACATCCCCCCAGAGATCTCCCACGAGTCCCCCGGGAGCAGCCAGTGCCTGCTGGAGCACCTCCTCACGCGGCTGCAGAGCAGCTCCTGCCACGTCAAGCTGAAGGTGGGTCCGTGCCAGGGGCACTGGCTGGTGATGGGCTGGACCCCCCCTGCTCCAGGGGGCTGGGGGAGCACCTCTGACCTGGCCTTGTGCCCCGGGCCAGGTGCTGAAGATCCTGCTGCACACCTGCTCCCAGGGCTCCCCCCAGTTCGTGCTGCAGCTGAAGAGGAACGCGGGCTTCATCCGCGAGGCTGCGGGTAACGGGCTGGGCTGGGGGGCTCCGGGCAGGGGGCACGGCCTCACACAGGGCTGGAGACCCTGACAGGCTCCTGCTGCAGGGGCTACACCAGCAGCAAGGTCCTGCCCTGCCCAAGAGCATCCCCCATCCTTCCCCCCCTGTGTCCACAGTGTTCTCCGGGCCCCCCGACCCCCTGCACGGCAACAGCCTGAACCAGAAGGTGCGGGCGGCTGCACAGGTGGGTGCTGGGCGGCCACGGCAGCTCCCAACCCCACCCTGGGGGTTCCCAGCGCTGCCCACACTCCTTCCTCCCTCTCCAATCCCCCAGGACCTGGCCAGTGTTCTCTTCTCGGATGTGCCGCTGCCACAATCCCTGGCACTGCCTGCCCGGCCCCCGGCCCCCGCCGGTGAGTGCAGCCCCCCAGCACCCCCAGGGGGAGGAACTGCAGCCAAGGGGGACCCCGAGTGCTGAGTGTTCCCTGTGTGTCCCCAGGGATGGGCTCCAGTCCCAGCCCCTGCGGGTCCCTGCAGGGATTCGGCTTCAGCGGTGACAGAAGCGGCCCTGGTGAGTCCTGTCTGGGCCCTTCCCTGCCTGGAGCTGTGACAGGGCCCTGGGGGGCACTTTGTGCTGTGTCCCCAGAGCTCCCAGGGTTCCCTCACCCCTATTCCTCAGCCTGGGAGCCCGGGATTCTCTCACATCCCAACCTCTCCGCAGCTTCCACCGGGGAGGCCCTGCTGAGCAGCCTGCAGCGAGCGGCCGAAGCCGTGGCCCAGGCCGTGCTCCCAGCGCCGGGGGGACCCCGGCAGCCTCAGGGGGACCTCCCCGACGACACCTACGAGCCTGTCCGAGCTCCCTCCCCTGCTGGCAGCCCGGCCCCACCGGCCCCGCTGCCCTCTGTCCCCCGCGGGGCCCGAGGTGGGTCCTGCCGGGGGGCTGGTGGGTCCCCACCCACCCCAGTGGGTTTGGGGACCCCAGCTCAGCACTGCTGTCCCTGCAGTGAGCCACCAGCCAGGGCTGGCTGGGGGCGGCTGGGAGGAGGTGGACAGCGGGCACAGCTCCCGGGAATCCTCGCAGGGACACGAGCGGAGCCGCGCCTCGGACTCAGGCAGCAAATCCGGCAGTGACAGCCGTTCTGGGGCCAGCCGGGAGCTGAGCCACGGCACTGACAGGTGAGAGGGGCCCCGGGGGCTCCTGGGTCCCCAGGGTCATCCCGGGGGGCTGCCCTGCCCCTGGCACTGTCCAAGGGGCATCCCCAGGAACGCTGCCCTGGTGCTGCCAGCTGTTCCTCCTGGGATGTTTGGCCTCACAGCCCTGGGTGGGCAGAGCTGCTTGGAGGTGGGGGGGTCCCTGGCCCCTGGGGGGTGCTGGGTCTGTGCCAGACCCCAGAAGGGGGAAGCAGGCGTCCCCTGTGCCCAGCAGGCATGTCCCCAGCAGGGTAGACGCCGACAGCCCCGGTGACTGCCGGCGGGAGGTGAGCCTGGTGTCAGGGCTGACGCGCGGGGCCAGGGTCTTCCTCACCAGGGAGGAGGCTCAGCACTTCCTCAAGGAGTAAGTGTTGGAACTGGGGGCAACCTGAGCCCTTTCCACCCCCCTGTCTGGGCCTGGTCCCCCATGGTGGGGAGGGGCTGCGAGCAACTGTGACCCCCCTCCCTATCCAGGTGTGGGCTCCTGAACTGTGAGGTGGTGCTGGAGCTGCTGGGCCGGGCTCTGGAGGATCCCAGCGACAGCGTCCGCATGGTGAGCACAGGGTGTCCCCCCCAGGGGGGCTGCGGGGTCTGGGGGGTGCTCAGCTCAGCCATGATCCCCTTTTCTGCAGAGATCCATGTCCGCTCTCTCCGCCCTCGGCTGCTCCGACCTTCTCTCCCCGGAGCAGATCTTCGCCGTGACCCGGCAGCACCTGCAGCAGCTCAGCCAAGGCAGCCCTGGGCCTGTGGCCAACCGGGCAACCAAGGTGCCTCTGGGGACATGCCTGTGCCCAATCCCAGGGTGGGGGATCCCAGGACCAACTTCCCAGTCCTTGGGGACACATAGCTCTTGGGGATGGCTCTGTGCATGTCCCAGAGTGGTGGGATTGGCAGCCTCTCCTGGGAGCAGGGAGCCCAGGCGGGGTGCTGCTCCCTCTGAGCCCTGCAAGGGGACACTGGGGACAGTCCCTCTGCCTGGGAACAGGGTGGTTGGGCCCCTGTCCTGGTGCCGCTCTCACCCTGGCCCCTCCCGCTCCTCCCGCAGATGCTGCGGCAGTTCGAGGCCCTGTGCCGGGCCCAGCCCTCCCCGAAGGCCCCGCGCCTACCCCCAGCCCCCCCGGCAGGCTCGGCCGGGGACCTGCTGATGGACATCCCGGCCCTGGCCGGCGAGAGCATCCTGACCCCACTGAGCCCGGCCCCCCCAGCCCCTGGTGAGGAGCTGGGCGCGGGAGCGGAGCCCCCTGGGGCCACGGTGCCGCCGTGTCCCTGCCAGCAGGGTGGGGGGATCGGGCTTGGGGGGGACATGGCAGCCCCTGGGCTGTCCCTGTTCGCTGGGATGGAGCTGGTGGCCCGTCCTGGTGCCGTAATCCGGCCAGAGTCGCCATCAGCACAGCCACAGACACTGCCCCAGCCCCAGGACACAGGCACAGACATGGGGACGGACACGGAGGGCCCCCGGCAGCCCTCAGCCTTCGCCTTCCTCAACATGTAGCTGCTGTGGGGTCCCGGGGGCTGCGGGGGCTGTGCCCCCCTCCCTGCGGGGCCTGTGGTGTCCCGGTCCCTCAGGGGGACATGGGGTGTGAAAGGGTCCCTAGGGGGGACATGTGGCTTCCATCAGGTGACAATGGCCCTGTCCCTGGTGTTCAGGGTGGGCAGAGGGGCTTGGCCATGGCACCTCTCCTCTGGGCTGGAGGGGAGCCCAGGACCCTCTGGGGCTGAGCTGAGGGTGTTCTGGGGACCCTGGTGCAGCCATGGGGTGCCCCTGCCCGGCCCCAGCTCCGGCCCAGGCTCTGTGGGGCCGAGGTGGGAGAAGGTGCCGTCCCCGTGGGGCTGTGACCCACCAATAAACCCCTCCTCGGGTCTGGGAATGTGTGACTTCTTCCTGCGCCACTGCTGGAGCCCTGCCCGTGGCTCTCCCCTCCGCAAGGGCCCTCCTTGCCCCACAGCCCCCCACAAACCCCAACAGCCCCATGGTTCTCCCCTGCCCCAGGGCCACAGTCCCCCCTTGCCCCACAGCCCCCCAGTAGCCCCACAGGTCTCCTCCTGCCCCACAGCCCCCTAATAGCCCAAAAGCCCCATTTTCCCCCCCAATAACCCCATCACTGTCCCCCCGCCCACATGAATCAAACCCCGCCCTCTCAAGGCCCCGCCCCTTCTCCCGTAGCCCCGCCCTTCTCTCACCTTATTGGCTCCTTTCCCCAAGCCCCGCCCGCCTTCATTCTCCCTCCCCCTTCCCCGCCTCAGCCAATCCCGTCTCTCTTCGCTCCCGCACTCCCTCCACATTGGCCGCCGGCCGCAGGCCCCGCCCCGTGGGCGTGGCCGGACTCGGCCGTAGGTGAGGGGCTTGGGGGGTTAATGGCGGCCGGGAGGGTCCGGGGGGGCCGGGACAGGGACACGGTCACGGCCTCGGGTGAGGCGTTCGCCCCGGCCCTGACCCCTTGTCTCACCCTCCGCGTCCGCCCCGGGGGGGTTCGTTCGCTTGTGGGTGCGTGTAGCCCATCGCTGTGGGCGTGTGGGGATGGGGGGCTTGGGGGTTTGGGGGCTTGGAGGGGTGCGGGTCTGGGCTGGGGTCTGGGGTTTGGGAATTGGAGGGTACTGGAAGGGTCTGGGGCTTGCGGGGGCTTGGGGTTTGGGGACGTGGAATTTGGGGATCTCTTGGTGATCTGGGGCTTCGGGGCTGCTTGTCCTGGGGGCTCCTGGGAGGGATCTGGGCCTTGGGGGCCTGGGGCTTTGGAGCTGGGGGGTCTGGGCCTTGGGGATCTGAGGATAGGGAAGAGTGGGTCATGGGGGTCTGGGGCTGGGTGTTCTGGGGTCCCGGGGAGGGGTCTGAGCCTCGGGGGTCCCAGAGGGTTTGGACCTATTGGAGGCTTGGGCTCGAACTTTGTGACCTAGGATGGGGTCCTGGGGGGTCCTGGGCCTTGGGAGTGGGGGAATCCTGGGGGGTTCAGGGTTATGGGAGCTTAGAGGCTGGGGCTTGGGACCAACGTGATCCTGAGGGGATCAGGGATTTGGAAACTTAGGGACCAGGGCTTGCACCTGGGTCCTGAGGGGGGCCGTGTTGGGCCTGGGTCTTCAGGCCTAGGGGATCTGGGCCTCAGGGGCTTGGGGTTCTGGGCTGGGGGCCCGGGGGGCTCTGGGTGGGTGTGCTGGGCCTGGGCTCTGGGCCTGAGCCCTGTTTTCCCGCTGTGAGCCCGGTGGTTTCCATGAGAGCCGTTTGTTTCCCTGCGTTGTGGAGCCCGAGGCATTGCCAAAGGCTGTGGTGGAGCCCGGGGGGGTTGGAATCCAGGGCTGCAGAGGGAGGGGGTTTAGGATTTGGGGGCAGTTTGGGTAATAAATACAAAGAAATAAAGTGATGTGGTGTTTGCCTGGAACAGTAGCAGCTTCTGGCTCAGCACTGGGGATGGGGGATGAAGAGGGGGAGGTGTGCTGCCCCTCTAGCTGAAGGGCTGCTTGGCAGGGATTGGGAGCACTCGGTGCAGGGAGGATCCCTGGGAGCTGTGCAGGTGGTTCCTCAGTGTCTGTGCCTGATGCAGGTTGAGCTGAACCTCCCCACGTGCTCCCCTGGCAGCCACAGTCTGTGTAGGGTGGAAGGGGAGCAGGGCTCTTCTCCTCTCCTGTGGTCCTGTGCTGGGATCCTGTCCCATAAATGGATCAGGCGGACATGGGACGGTGGGAGAATGGGACGAAGGCACTGAGGAGTTCACCTGGAGCCTCTCCAGGCCTGTGCTGGGTGTTGTTTGGCAGTGGAAACACGGGGGAAGGTGTCCTGTCCCGTGTGGGAGCGGTTCCAGCTCTGTGCCGGTGCTTGCAGGAGCTGGAGCCCCCGGACGCTCTGTGCCTTCATTCTCTGCTCTGTGCTTGCAGGGCCCCTCTGTTGTGCTCCAGCATGAAGAGCACCCGCAGCTGCTCCTCCGTGCAGGGCTCCGGCGTCGCCGACCTGGTGCTGACAGGGCTCCCAGCGCCGCTGTCCCGCCGCCCCGGCAGCGCCTCCCCCGCCAGGCTCGTGGCACGCTCCGTGTCCGTCACCGCCGACGGCAAACCCAAGAGGAATGCTCTGGTGAGCCCCAGTGCTTCATCCCTGCCATGCAGGGAGGGTGTGCCTGGGATGTGGGATGTCTCCCTGCACACCCACATCCCTCTCTGTGGTTCCCCCACCACCTGCCCGGCTCTGGCGCGGCACCACCTGCAAGATCGCTGCTCGTGGGTCTGTGCCCGGGGCTTTCAGGTGGGCAGAAAAGCAACCAGGGAGCTTCAGGCTTCCCTGTTTTCCCTTCCCTTTGCCTCCCTGCACCAGTTTCCACCTGGAAACTCCTGATTTCCTGCAATCTCCTGCTGGGATTTCAGGCTCACCCTGCCCCTCGCTGAGCACCCTGTTCCTGCTGTGCTGGGGTCTCGCTGAGTGGGGGTTCCACAGAGGGAATGAGCCCCAGGTACTTGCTGGGCTCTGTGGGGATCCAGCAGTGAGGAGTCTGTGCTCCGTGCTGAGTAATCCCTTGGCAGCATTCCCGTGCCCTCGTTCCTGGGAGCTCGTGCTAAGGAACGTGTTCCTGCTGGCTCAGCAGCGCCGGAGCGAGGTGTCATTGCCCGCTCCTCAAGGAGAGCTTGGCAGCTCTGGGAGAGCAGGAACTCCGTGTCCGGGCTGTGTGAGGGGGGTGAGGGGGACACCACTGCCTATTTTGGGCTGCCTGACTTGCCAGGGAACCTGCCTGTGCTCCTCCTGAGCATGGCTGCTGGATTGATCCCTGTGCTCCGCAGGAGGATGCGGGACCCCGGGCAATGAACAACCTGCGCAGGTCCAACAGCACCACCCAGGTGAACCAGCGGGTGAACAGTGCACACAGGTACAGCCCAGCCAGGGACTCGTGTCTGTTCTGTCCTGGGGTGTGTCCAACCTCCCTGGGCCTGTGGGGGAACCAGAGCCATTCCAAAACATGCATTGAGCTCCATCATGCACATCAGGTGTAAAAACCTGGCCTTGGAAAACCAAGGTCTGGGCTTTATTTGGTTGGTTTTTTGGAAGGGAGCTCCTTTGTTTAGGATTTCATAGAATCATGGAATGGTTTGGGTTGGAAGGGACCTTAAAGCTCACCCAGTCCCACCTCCTGCCATGGGCACAGTCACCTCCCACTATCCCAGGTTGCTCCAAGCCCCGTCCAGCCTGGCCTTGGACACTTCCAGGGATGGGACAGCCACAGCTTCTCTGGGCAACCTGTACCAGGGCCTCCCCACCCTCACAGAGAAGGATTTTGGGAAATGAAGTGTATTTCTGTGGCTGTCACAAAACCCACTCCATTAATTCCAAGGGACAGGGCTGCTCTATTCCAACAGCCCCTCATGGATTCTCCAGCCTGTGCCTGGGCTGCGTGAGGAGACAAAAGTTCTCCCTCTCTCCCCAGTGCGCTCCAAATTGGGATTTTCTGTTCTCCTGTTGGTCTGTGCTCATCCCTATCACTACACACCACCCTGGAACCCAAAGCTCTGTGTAAAAATGAGTCGTTCATAGATATTTTTGGCTGTGTAAAGATTCTCCAGCCCTTTTTCTCCCCTATGTTACACTGGAGTATATCCAAATGCCCTGCACGGTCAGTCTGTGGCTGTGAGTTATCCCAGAACCCCTGTTCTCTCCTCTGTGCCTTCCCTGGGTCTGGCTAAAGCTCGGAGCAGACAGGAGACTTCCTGGCCTTCTTTGAGAGTGGTGCAGGAGGAAGAAAGAAACTGGCAAGTCTGAGCAAAACTTCCCCGGAAAAGAAAACCACGTGGAACATCCTGGTGAGGACAGTGGACTCAGGGGTGGGTGGGCTGGGTTGGCTCTGTGCTCCTGGGGGTGTTTGAGGAGGTGGGTTTGGTGCTTGCTGGCACTTATTCCTGCTGACTCTGTGGCAGGATGACCAGCCCCGGGCATTCCCAGGCCCCTCTGGCTCCCACGGCCTGGAGCCACCCCCGGGCATGAGGAGGAAGGAGGCCACTGTGCTGCTGGCTGCCAACTTCACCGCCAACAACAGGTGGGAGAGGGGCTGCTGGGGCTGGGGGTGGGAGGAACTGCACTAGGAAAGCACCTGGAGAGGGGAGGGTGCTGGTGCTGACACTCCTGTTCTCTTCTCTCCACGCAAGGAGCAACAAGGGCGCGATGGGCAACTGCGTCACCACCATGGTGCACAACAACTACTCCACGGCCGAGAAGGGCCCCACGCCCAAGAGCTCCAACCAGGCTCCCAGTTCCCTCAAGTGAGCGTGGTGGGGTCCTGGCTCAGTGCCAGGCTGGCCCCACGGTCCTGTGTCCATGTGGCACAGGATGGGGCTGAGCAGCTTCACCTTCTGTCCCAGCAACGTTGTGAAAGCGACCTCGAACGAGGACGGGGAAGGCGGCGGCAGCTTCGCGAAGTCTCAGAAGAATTTCTCCAGCAACAACATTGTGACCCGCAACAACAACAGCAGCAGCAGCAGCGCTCCCAGGAGGAGGGAGGTGACCGAGGAGGAGGCTGAGAGGTGAGGGGAGAGGCAGGAGGACGGTGCCAGGCGGTGTGAGGAGCTCCAGCAGAGCTCGTTCCTGTCCAGTGGGGCTTCAGATTGGGGGAGGGCCCCCCTTAGCAACTGATTCACCCTCCCTGTGGCTTGGCTCTGTGCTTTGGGGTGTCATCAAAGGCACAGTTCCTTCCACCCCAAAAGTCAGTCTGGGAACAAAGGCCTTGTTGGTTTGGGGGGTGAGGAGACAGAAGTCCTGGTGCTGTGGCCAGAGGGGTTGGTGCTGCCCAAGGAGGTCCTGGGGCCGTGCTGACCCTCCCTCCCTGTCCCCACAGGTTCATCCAGCAGGT